CACACGAAGACATAAGTTATATGAATCCCGAAGGCTACTTGCTAGGCATATGCGGTGAATAAATTCACACGAATGCGTCGCTTTCACCCCCACTTAAAACGGGTTCGGAGCTCGGGTTTAGAGCTTAGAGATGACAATTTTGAAAAAATCTGAAATAATTAACAACGTCAGTACAACTATTTATTTGAAAAATAATCAAAGATAAATAATTGGAATCGAATAAATAAATTAAAATTTAAATTTACCGTTTTCGCATAAAAGACAACCGAAAATTAATTTCGGCCTGACTTACTTACCTATCCCCAGCGGAGTCGCCAAGCTGTCGCAACTGTCTTTCGGTTTGGGCCCCGGAATTGAGCTTTGACTTGAAAATGTGGATTGGAGTCGCCACCGACCACTTTAAAACGAATTTAGGTGGGTCGGACACCATCTTACCCGATCTGCGTTGTACTAGAAATGTGTCGGGTTCGGGAGTCGGTTACAGCCAAGGAAGGATTAGCACCCTTGTACTGCCCTTTCGGTACCAATTAATTTATCGGTTGTCTTTAATTGTGAAAATTAAGAGTTTAAATTAAAATTTTAAAATCCGATTCAAATTGCTTATCTTTGATTGGTTGAAGTTCTTCTAAAAGAGTAGAAAATGTTAAATAAAATAAAAAAAATATTAAAAAATATTAAATACATAAAAATGAAAAAAAATAGAAAATAAAAATAAAATAATAAATCGAATGGAAAAAGTAAAAATAATAAAAATAAACAAATCAAAGGGAAAAAAACAAACTGAAACTTAACTATTATGGTACTTGTATGATATATATGTACTAGTAAAAAAAACATTATATGCGTTAACCAATCTCCACTTGCACAAATTTGAAACTTGGATGGTTGATGTGTGATTGTGAAGTGGGGCAAGTGTCATGGTGGTTCGGTCCACAGGTGTAAATGGCGTGATTTGTGAGGCCATAATAATAAACAATGATAAGGGTCATGTGATGGTGCAGAAATAGGACCAAAATAAAATCATTCAAAACTAGAATGGTTTAATGTAGAAACAACCCATGCGTTAAGAAATGCAGTACATATTTAAAATACAAAGAGAAATTAAAAGAGAGCCCACCCTTTTTCTTTTACCAGATTAACACGAGAAGGAGAGAAAGCTTTGCCACCCTCTCGCCGGGAAGGGATAACCGCTTGTCGCCAATCTCCGATGGCCGTTCAACACCAAACTTCAAGGGAAGGTTCGTCTCGATGCTAGGAATTCGGATTCGGCCTTCGTTTTTCCTATTGTTCGTCTCTTTCTCTACCGTGTTTTTTCTTGTCGTGTTTCTTGTATAATTTCCTTGTGCGTTTTGTGTGTCCTCCCAATTTTCATCCCCTCGTACAAGATATTAAAGAAGTGAAAATGGCAACTTATCGAGTAACAGCCAATGAATGAGTGCGGCGAGGAAGCAATTGATCGTTTGGAAGCCACATGAAAGTAACAAAACACGACAAAGGGGTTTTGCACTTTAAAAAAGAGATGGAATGAAAATCAAAATGAAAACCAAAGGTCCCCCCATTTTTGATGAAATTCCCCGCCTCTGTTCCTTGCATGCGTATTTATAGCTTTAGAACTCTATTTTTAGCTCGATTTTTCGAGAGATTTGCGTTTTCTATTTTTAATTTGGTGGTACGACGGAAAGCTCGGAAGATGGTTGCCGTTGGCGTGAAGCGCGAAGACTCTCCAAGAGTTCTCCATCTGGCTTGTTGCGGCAGTGAATGGCAGAATGAGAGAAACCCTAACTCACCTAGGGTTACACATGTGTTGGGCTTTGCTTGTAACGGGCTTTGGGTTTGAGCCTGATACAAAACCAAGCAACATTACTATATGTAAATTCATATGTAAAAAAAATGTATATATAATGTATACAGGTGCATGCACTTAAGTAACTTCATAAATATGCAATGCGTATTCACCATATAATATATGTATATAATATACTATAAATAAGTCATATAATAAATATGGATAAATTATGTAATGTGGGCGAAAATTAGTGTCTACAATGTATTTTACTCATATTTCTCTCATATGAGTGACTTTTCACGAAACACATTCAAAATCAACGAAATTAAACAAAAAAATCTATCATTTTTAAGGGTTTGAGTATAGGTGCTTATCGAGTGAGTCGATTGCAAGTTTGCAATACTCGACTCATGCTTATTAAAAAATCTTATTGCTCAACTCGATTTGTTGTTTATTGCTTGATTTGACTCGTTGCTTATTAAGCTCACCCGAATTTTTATATTGTTTTTTTAATCATAGGTAAAATATACTAATACTATATAAAACTTAATATAAACATAAATTAAAAAATTTAACCAAAAAATTATAAAAGAATGTATGAAACAATTTCAAATTATAAACTCCAAAGTAACAATCCACAAATACACCAAACTAAAATTAATAGATTAGTAAAATAGTAGTTAATTATTAATTAGTAATTTATCATATTTTTTATTATTTATTAAAGAATTAATAATTATTATTTAGACTTTCTCTTTTTGAAATGAATAATTTTTTAAGGTAATTGCTAAAAAATTATAAAAAAAATTAATGAACTGCTCACGAACTTATCAAGTCGAGTTGGACCTTACTCGACTCAACTCGTTAAGGTTTCAAGTCAAGTTCAAGTTTGAGTCGAGTCAACTAGAATCGAGCATTGATCGAGTCGAATTCGAGCAACTCACGAGCTGCATAACTCATTAAGCAACCCTAGATTTGAGGACTTTCTTAGATTTAAGCGAACGATAAGAAGCATTATTTCGAGAACACGAATATATACTCCAAAATTAACCTCATCTAACTATCATCGAAAAAGATCCAAATATGGGCACCTCAAATTTTTAAATGGATTTTTATCGATTTCAATATAATTATTATCATTTGATTTACTATAAAATAACTTCGTGCAATATATTACTAATTTCATTTCGCCTTTTAAGATTTAATTTTGATAAAATAATTATTCAATTATAAGAACGACATAATAATTTCGCATATGATTAAATTTGACATTTTTTTTATAAATTATAATAATACTAATATAATTGAATGCAAGAAATAAAAGAAAAAAAGAACGTTCAAAAAGTTGAGCGGTAATAGAACTGTTTAAGAGGAAATTACTTTTGCAATCAATTTAAAATGTTCACCAGAAATTAAAAAGAGTTTGAAATATATATATATATATATTATATGGAATTTTAACGATTTTAGAATATTTTTTAACATCTCAAAAGGATCAAATAATATTATTTTTTTTAAAAATCGAAGATTAATTTTCTTTTAAGTTTTGGGCATGGAGTCCCGCCAATATTTCATGTGTCTCAACTGAATATATACATTGACCGAATTGTTAACAGCTCTCTATTAGTTTTTTTTTACCGAATTGTTAACAGCTCTCTATTAGTTAAATGCTAAAAATGGGTCATAAGAATTCCTCCAACATTTCTCGCAACAAAAATTCTTCAGTTTAATACTTGAGGATAAGAATTGTCTCGTCAAATTCAATGGTGTTGAATGTTGACACAACCAGCTCGTCAATGGTGGTATTGTTGCTAATTTTAGTTATGTATTTAGTCCGATATCTTGGGAATATGCAACCTTGCAACTGTTTAAAATAAAAACCTGAATCTTATAAAGAAAAATCTGAAATGAAAAAAAATAGATGCGTGAATGATATGATGCATGCAGGTGAGAAATAGCCATAACGTTCTCCTGCTTTTGATTCTCTTTCTCTGCTCCATTTCTACCGTGATTCTGTTTCCGGAGCCTCCTTTTTTCTTCAGTTTCATTGCGTTGTAAGAAGAAAAGGCAAGAAATGATTTGCTTTGCAAGAGCAATTAGGAGGGTTTTTGTTGAATTTCCTAGATACGATTATGGGGTTTTGATATTGTTAATTTGATGATTCAATTTGTTGACAGGGTTGAGAACCAAGGTGAAATAAACGATCCAAAATGGCTGCCGCCGACACTGAAATTCACAGCTTCTTAAGCAACACCATTTATTCTTCATTGCCTCTTCTCGTCGAGGTTTGATTTTATAATGATTTGACAGTTCCCTCTTTCATCAACATTCTTGCTTTTCTCGTTGGATGAATTCCTTTTGGCGTTTTCTTCAAACAATGGAAGGCATAACGTTTCATCATTTTATCGATAATTACATGTTGTAGAAAGTTTTGGATGGTAGGCCATGAATCCCGTTTCTACAAATATTAAATGTTTTGCAGCAATCAGTAGAAACATTTTCTGTCAAATTGTCTTTGTGAGCCGTAATTGCATGCAAGAGCTTTAGGAAGTCAAAGAAGTTTGATTTTCTTTTAGAAACTGTTCATCATGGAGTGGCTGAATATCGACGCTCAATACTCATATGAAAAATAGGAAGTTAATACACACACATACACACACACACATATATATATGTCCCCCATACACGTTAAATTTCTTGGTTTGCACTTTGGTTGCTCAGTTTCCATCTGATACGTCTTGGTTTACATTTTGATTCTCGTCCCTGTGAACAGGAAATGTCTGTTATTATGCGTCATGGTTCGTTTTCTTTCGGAAGATATGCCGATGACTCGATTTCATGGGAGAAAAGGACAGTTTTTAGTTACGATAGACGTCAAGAGGAACTAGAGAAGCTCAAGGCCTTAGGAATAGTTGCTCAAAAGAAGGCCTATTTTGATGAATTCTTCAAGAATGTTGGACTCGTGAAAGCATCACCAGCCAATCAGCAACAAACCAACCAATCTGGTCCTAGTCAAGATACAAAAGATGGTGCCAAAGAAGAAGGAAATGACACTGATGCTGCTGTTGTAGAAAAGGAAAGAAAACTGAGCAATGCTAATCAAATTCAGATCCCAGACAGCCTGGGAATTTTGAACAATAGGGAACCATCTTGCCAGGAAGCAAAATATTGCTCTGCTGAAAATAATGATGCTACCATAAAAGAAGGAACGAATATGGTTCCACTGGAAAATTCTTTTGAAGAAGCTTCCGTTTCTCATCCTCCATTGCCCGAGGGAAATCTAAGATGTGTCGAGCAGAAATGCATTGCCTCCGGCAAAGTGAAGCAAACTACTAACAGAACGACACAGCATGGCACTGTTTTAAAGGATAAGGTAAATAAGTTCGATATCTTTTATAACTAAATGCTTATATATATATACATGTATATATAAAAGCTGATGTTCTTAATTTCGGTTTTTGTTTTACGTCTTGATCAGGGGAATACTGTTTCTGCTATTAAAAACAAAGCAAAGGTGCAACACATTACTAAAGATGTTGGTATAAAATCGAAGCCAAATCCATCTCTTTGCCGGGAAGCTAGTGTCAAGGTTAATAAAAGTGTCATTTTAGGCAAAGAAAATACCCCAAATGCTGTAAGAAGTATTAGTAGACAAATTACTGGATCACGCTCTAGCTTACCTAGATTGTATGGACCATCAAAACGTGGTGGCCTGGTGTCTTCTTCTTCTTCTGGACCATCAAAACGTGGTAGCCTTGTGTCTTCTTCTTCTTCTTCTAGCACTGGCATTAGAAGAACTGAAGCAAAGCCTTTTTCAAATAGAACCAAACAAGAAACAGAGTTGCCGGTGCAAATTCCTAGTGCTAAAGTATCAAGGCTGGTGTCATTTTCTTCTATCTGTAGCATTATAAAAACTGAAGCTAAGCCAAATTTAAAAAGAACCACACAAGAAAAAGGGTTACCAGTGCAAATTCCCAGCGCTCAAGTAACAAGGCTAGTGTCATCTTCTTCTAGCTCTAGCATTAGAAAAACACAAGCCAAGGCAAGTTTAAAAGGAACCAGACAAGAAAAAGAGTTGCCAGTGAAAATTTCCAGAACTCGAGTAACAAGACTGGTGTCATCTTCTTCTAGCTCCAGCTCTAGCACTAGCAATACTGAAGTCAAGCCATCTTCAAAAAGAACCAATCATAGAACAGAGCTGCCAGTGCAAATTCCCAGTGCTCAAGTAACAAGATCGGTGTCATCTTCTTCTAGCTCTAGAACTAGTAAAACAGAAGCCAAGCCATCTTCAAAAAGAACCAATCAAGAAAAAGAGCTTCCAGAGCAAATTTCCAGCGCTCAAGTAAGAAGACTAGCGTTATCTTCTGCTAGCTCAAGCATTAAAAAAACAGAAGTCAAACCAAGTTTAAAAAGAACCAAACAAGAAACCGAGCTTCCAGAGAAAATTTGCAACGCTCAAGTAACAAGGTTAGTTTCATCTTCTTCTAGCTCTAGCATTAAAAAAACTGAGGTCAAGCCATCTTCAAAAGGAACCAATAAAGAAACAGAGTTTCCTGTGCAAATTCCCAACGCTCAAGTAACAAGCCTGGTGTCATCTTCTTCTAGCTCTAGCTCTAGCATTATCAATACTGAAGACAAATCATATTTAAAAAGAACCAATCAAGAAACAAAGTTGCCAGTGCAAATTCCCAGCGATCAAGAAACAAGGTTGGTGTCATCTTCTAGCTCCTGTATTAGAAAAACAGAAGCCACGACATGTTCAGACAGAACCAATCTGCGAATTCTCTGCACTCAAGTAACGCGGGTGGTATCATCTTCTTCCAAGTCTATCATTACTAACACTGAAGCAAAGTCAGGTACAAAAAGAACCGATCAAGAAACAGAGTTGCCAGTGCAAATTCCGAGCGCTCAAGTAACAATGCCGGTATCATCTGCTATTAGCTCTAGCATCAGAAAAGCTAAAGCCAACCCAAGTTCAAATTCAGGACGTTCAAGAACTAAACCAAAAACAAGTGCACTACTTTCCAAATCTTCTAAGGTGAAGCAATTTGCAATTTCTTTTTCTTTCTTTTTTATTTATTTGTCCATTCTCCTGACGAGCACATAACATACATTTGTAGAGCGTTTCCAAAAACATTGCTCAGACTGATGGAATTGGAGTTGAACAGATCCAAACTTGTAACAAAAAGCAAAAAGTGGAACAGGTATGCTTTAACCTGATATAAACATAATTTATTGTTATTGTAAAATTAAATTACTTCGATTAATTAATTCATAATAAATTATATGTGTGCAGCGAAAGGACAAGGCTCTACAAGTTGGACTTATAAGAGATGCAAAACAAACCTCAACTCGCTTGTCTTGTTCTGACAAGTCTTCAGTGCAAAAACTTGTTAACAAGGTCGCTCATGGCTTACTCTAATCCTTAATATCTTCACAAATTTACAGTATATGCATTGGTTTCCATTGCTTGAAACTTTTGAGCTGGTTTTATTTTGTATTACCTGGAAACAATTTTGTGATATTACATTTATCAAGAAAAATATACCTCAAACAATTGATTTGTCTTATTTTGTGTTTAGATTGAATCTTTGGAGTATGCAAAATTGAAGTTTGATCAAACAACCAAAAGGTATGTCAGCTTTGCTTGTCTTTCCCCACTACATGTTACGACTTACTGTGTTTGGGATTGATGGCTTAGCTAATCAAATGGGAACTAATACCTTTCAGCTCATTAAATGAAAACCGAAATCTTAGGACTCGTTCGAGAGAGACTCAGACCTCTCGTTAAGGTGTTTCATAAAAGCATAATCTAAGCCTTAAGTAAAGAACCAAAATTAAGCGTCTTTCCTAGCACAGATCGGACCCTAACACTGTCTTATCTGCAGTTCCTTAAAACCTTTTCCACAATTTGTTTCAGGGTGATCTGTTTTTGCATTTATATATAACTTATATCAATCATTTTAGACTAACCACATATTACACAGGCAAAAGAAGCCATGCTAGCGGTGAAAGCGGAAACGGGTTTGGATCAGTTAGTGTTTCTTGCAGCAGAAGGAATTAGTTATCAGCTGAAACAACCTTGGTAGCAAGAGGATGAAATGAGTACATCTAAACATTGCTGATAGTTTTGAATACAAATTTGTTAGCCTGTAAATATTTAGAAATATAGAATATTCCAGGTGTAGATATGCCTTTGGAATTAATATGAGATTTGACATTCATGCCGTTGATGTATTATTTCAACTTCAAGAGTTAGGAAATGATTTGTTTCAATTTAATCAAATTTGTGACATTCCGTTTCATTTCTATCTACTGTATAATTACGATTAATACATCTAAAACGAATTAATAAAAATAATTCATGCATTATGAGACTATAAAAACCTCAAATTTATCAATACCTCAACAACAACAACAAAACCCTATTTTCATATGCAATGGGATAAGAGGTTATCTTTAAACTGAGATTTAATTGTCTTCTTTAATTTATTTGCCTCACTAAATTCAAAGCTTATATCAATTCTTTTATACAACATATACAGATAAGTTGGTCTTTCAGTTTATCCATGTAAGTTAAAAAAAGGACATGAGAAGTTGAAAAAAGAAGAATAAAATATTAGAACTTTTTAATTACTTATTAGCCAAAAACAAATCGATATATTTAATTATTTTTGTTTCATTTTCCATCTTTAATTTTTTTATATGTTTTGTTTTCTTAAATTTGTATGATATTTTAATTATTATTAATTTATGATTTTAATTTTTTAAAATGATTCGTTTTTTTCCCCTCAACAAACGCATTTCACTGATGCTAAAATCGTAGCAGAAGAGCAGAAGTACTCGCGGGAATAAAGGGAAGAACGGTTGCTCTAAAGGGACGTCTACTAATGCGCCACGTAGAAGCTTGGAGTTGTTAACGCCACGGTCCTTCCTTCTCAAAAATCACCCTTCTCACCGTTGCAGAAACAAACAAACAACGAAAAAGAAGAAGAAGAAACGAAGATGGCGTCGTTCGATCAAGCGCCGCACGGTGACTCAAAGCCCGGTGAGAAGATTTTCAAGACCAAGTGTGCTCAGTGCCACACCGTCGAAAAAGGCGCCAGTCACAAGCAAGGTTGCCAATGCTTTCATTTTTATTTTTGTTTTGGAATTAATATAATCTGATTTGCGTTACGATGCGGTCGAAATTTTATTTGGATTCCATTACTTGAATATATGTGGCAGGACCGAATCTTAACGGTCTGTTTGGAAGGCAATCGGGAACGGCTTCAGGTTATTCGTACTCCGCCGCTAATAAGAGCATGGGTGTGATTTGGGAGGAGACAACTTTGTACGATTACCTGCTCAACCCTAAGAAGGCAATTCACTTTCTTTCAAAAACTCATTTTCTTCCTTATTTTCGAATGATCTGCCTAATCTTTTTTATTGGTAATATACATTTCTCATGCTCTTTGTTTCTCAATCTTATGGTTGGACGATTGTGATTCGATTCTTGCTCTGAGCTTTCCCGGTATTGACAATAGAAAGAAGATCAATAATCATTTGCTGGATTTTCCCCATTTTCTTATGGTTTAGTGAAGTAATAGCCTAGTTTGATATGTGCTGAGTGCATACATTCAGGACCTTTGTATGGATGAATATTTGTATACTCGATCTTTTGAAAGTTCGTTCATATATTTAGAGAATCATGTTCCATACTTAGAAAGTAACCTAATCTTCTACGTTATATGTGTTATTTTTCAAATCTTGATTCTGTTTAATGTGTTATGTTTTTCGTGTAAACCACGGCATGTTAATAATTCATATTATATAGATTCAACACATTCGTATATTATTATCATCATCATGTTTGAATTATCTTCTTGTGTCTTGTCGGAAATCACCTGCTATGACTATTACTTTTTTTTATAGGAATGGAATGTCTCGTTAAAAACCCCCTTCTTAATTAATGGAACTTTATATTAAGCTCTTAATGGAAGGAGGAAAAGAGTGCCTTAAATTTTATTAATAATAAAAAGCTACATAAGATTTAACCATTACACCAAATTACAGTACAAAAAACTTCAAAACTCCTCCTGCCATAAAAACCTTCACACTGGACCATAAAAACCACAGTTGAAACCTAACAATTAACCTATCCCTTTCTTAGCTAAATTGTCTGTCTCCTCATTGCACGCCCTTGGAATCAACCTCACTGAATGTAACTTACCATTGATGAGAGACAAAATCTGATAAACTAGAGGCGAGAAAAAAACAGGAGCCAAAACCGGGGCCTGAATCCATTCCACTGCAGACTTACAATCATTCTCAACAATCAACTTACCATTGCTATGACTATTACTCAGATGCATAAAATATTGTGTGCAGTACATCCCGGGAACAAAAATGGTTTTCCCTGGATTGAAGAAGCCACAGGAACGTGCTGATCTCATTGCATATTTGAAGGAATCTACGGCCTAGATGGGTTTTCCAACACTTTTGCTTTTAGCTGTTCAATTTTGCAGTCATCAGAGATTGTTTCTCAGAACGAGGATATAATTAAGTAGACCTTCAAGGTCAGCCGTACTCTGCAGAAAGAGCATTCATTCATTCATTCCTTGCAATTGTTTTTATTTTTTCGAGAATAGTTCGCCATTGCTGGCTAATGTAAGGCTTTTTTTTCAATTACATTGTTTTTCATTGTTTTTTGAACTTTTAAATAGATTATTTGCTTCTCCGATTGTGTTCTATAGGGTGAAATGTTTGAATTTAGCTATGCTTTTTATGAATCTGAAACCTACTTGTCTATACGAGGCGGTTTATGTGTCCTCGGTGTCTGTCGTGTCTTACATCCCGTGAACCTAATGCCCCCCTAAGGGGTATATTTTTCTAGAGGAAGATGTTTAGAAAAGTTCGTTTAAGTTCAAATAGATCTGTCGATACTAGTTGGAACGTGAGAACATGATCTAGCCCAACATGATTCCATCTGATATGAAATTGGAATTGACTCGGGACTTGAAATAACTTGTATCAAAAAGTGATTGTGATTCAAATTTGAAACGACTTGAAAATTTTAAAACCCAAATTAATAGATCAACTCGGCTCTGTAATTGACAGATCGAACGACAATTTATTAGAAGTAAAATGATAACTAAGAATGTAGTTTTATTAATAGTGCGTTGAGAAATCAAATGGGCACTCTTCTGCAAATGAAGTGAACAAGGGATTGTAGGAAGCTTTTAGAAGTTTCCTCCTTATTAGGCAGCTTTAAGAGGTGAGCCACTTTTGAAAATCCTAGATGTTGCTTACGGTACACGGAGTCATCAATCTCACCATATGAATGTTTCATCTCCTCTGAGAAGAGTTTTGGCTTTGTCAGTGCCCATTGCATTGCCCATATTGCTAAAGGTCTCATGTAACATAAGGATCGGTATTCGTCGTCAGTATTCCACCCTTCTGGAGTCTGGAAGGAGTATCTATAAAACAAAGGCACAACAGAAATAAATAAGTCAAACTTCCAATGGCAGAGAAACTCGTCTATCCTAGTAATGGAAGTTCGGATAACCATTTTCAACATCTTTGACCATTTTTTTTCTATTGGTTTCTTTCTATAAATATGTGTAGCTCAAATAGAAACTTACCCGAGACCTTGCTGTGACCAAGCGGCTTCATAAGCACCAGCTGCCGTTTTAAATGCCGTTTCAACCATCCCCACCTGAATCATGGTTGCTGCAAGAGCATATGTAACTCCAGCCCAAATTTCCCTTGATTGCATACCTGTCAAATCAACACTTCCGTCCGGAAGCATCCCATTTACTGCACCACGTGTGCCTCCTTTCACCTTCAAGACGTTGAAATCATAAATCTTTTGGAGTGCAGTTCTTACTTTGTCATCATCAGCAATTGGCATGAGACCACTTGCTCCAGCATACCTACATCATCATCCAATTGAGTCCACATTTGCATGCCATAAACAGATAAAGAGTCTTTATGTAAAATAGGAAGCATGGCGATACCTATAGTTCAAATAATAATGTTCTTATTGTATCAGTAAGGACATTAGAATCTGAATTTGCCTCAAATTTGAAAGGAAGATTGCATAAGGACATTAGAATCTGAATTTGGCTTACTATAACAGATTAGAGTAATAGGAGTATACAACTTCCATCAGTTTTCAGAACATAAAAGGAATATACAAATTCAACTAAGGGTAAATTTTACACAGAAAAGATGATATGTTCTATAGTAAAGCTGTGCTACGTGTAAATCTATTCTGTTTATAGTTTCCGTGTTGAAGGAAGCATGGGCACCAGAGCTGCACGGCAGGTTTTCAAGGAATAGTCTAGGCTAAACTACAAAACCATCTACATGTAGTGCAAGCTAAAATCTTTTTCGTATGTGATTTATAAGTTATGAAAGTACTCCTATGAGGGCATAAAAGGTTAACATGATCAACTAAAGAAGTGGGAAGTACTGGAAATGCGAGATAAAGATATAAATAGACCGATGGCTATGGTATGTCATTTATTTTCAGTATATGCAGAGCATTTTAATGCAAATTGGAGGGGTGGAGTAGCTGTATGCTAACCATTGTCCAGCCAATTGATCAGCTAGAATACTCTTGCTGGAACTACTTGCCGTGTTGTCATAGTTGAAGTAGGATCCATTCCACAATGTGCCATATACGGATTTTGCATTTTGATACTTTGTATGAAAATAGGCGGCAGATGCGTTATCACCCACTAGATGAGCAATAGATGAAGCTGCTTGGAGGGCTGCCACCCATAGCCCCCCACTATATGCACTCACACCATCAACAGGCCATACATCGTATGTTTGATCAGGGAACCCTTCATTCTCAATCATCCCATCTCCATCTTTATCAAATTGATCCATAAAAGCCATTGCAGCATAAACTGAAGGCCAAACAGCCTGTGCAAAACTCTTGTCTCCTGTAGCAACGATATCCCTATGTACTTGGAGAACAAACTTGGGATTCAAATCTTTCCAGTTATCTGTATTAAATAGATTATAAGAATTTACTTCAAACCAAGGGTCATTAAGCCCAATATCATGTGGAACGGCACCGAGAATCTTTCTCGGAACCCACTTCCCGTCACTCATAATTTCCATCTTGCTTGGATCATGCATCATAACTGCTGCTGCAAAGTCTCTCTGGATGCTCAGTTCAAGTTTTGGGAATAGCATGAGCAGTGCAAAAGATGAGTAGAAATGAACATCATAAGTGTTGAACATGAGGTACTCACTCCCTTCAAAATAAAGGAACTGACCAATGTTTTCTTCTCCATCTTTTAGTAATTGGGTTCCAAAAGCAGCATTTGATGTCAGAGGAATATCTGCCTTCTCAAGTGTCGATGCCATCCTTTCTAGGATTTCAATAGCTATATTTTTATGATTTTCGGTGTTAATTACTTTATCGAGATGTGATCCCGACTTTCCAAGGCAAAACTTTCTATCTCTCAGGGATGCTAAACTTCTTGTTGGAGGTAATCCATCTGAAGGAAGTAAAAGTTAGTTTTCTATAATCAGGTTGAACTAAACTGAAGCTATAATATATATATATATTAAGCTCCATAAATACCTGTCCATATTGTCCCCCCTGCATTAAGGTAGTAGAGTTCATTGAAGAGTGTGACAGGGTACCTGGGAATTTTTGTCATGCTTTTAATACTTGTTCAACAAGCTGGAATATTCTCAAGCAGAAAATTCATTTAACCTTACCAGTCAGGAAATCTTTTGTCTTCAAGAATTGGTCTCTGCCATAATTCTATCTGGGATTCCCAGGTGGAATGTTCTAGATTCAAAATAATCAGGACACAAACATTCACCAAATGAGCATTTTTGTTATTTCACCCAATGGGATGTTCCAAAGAAAAATAATTCCATAGTTATTTATCACAAGAAATTCTTTACCCATTAGATTTTGACTGTTTCAGTGCTAAGCTAAATTAAAAATAATATTAGTAAAATTGCAGCCATTGAAAGATGGTAAGTAAATATAATTCATTAAGTAGTGTGATAAAGTGAACTTCATCCTGCGAAACTTTTAGCCGTGACAGACAGTGTAAACATACCTAAAATAGCATCATTTGCAATCTTTGCAGCTGCTTCACCTAAAGTGCCATAATATCTTGAATAGCGCCTGTTATTGGAGAAATATTTGATTAGTTCACAGTAGTATAACTGTCGCGAATTAGATTTACGAAGTTCCGAAAAAGGGGGAAAACCAATGAACTAACTTGTAGTATGTCTTGTCACCAAATCTGACTTCTGGACTGTCCCATGCAAGGGAGAATGTGACTCTACGGACAGAACCAGGAGGAACACTCAAGGAGGCTGCTACAGCTGCTCCTATGGATGATCCTGGTTTTGAAGGCGAACAATCTTCATAACCAAGGTTGTCAAACGATCCATTCTGTATGTGATTAGATCAACCAAAACTTTATTTCTATAAATTGAATAAAGTGAAAAAAGAAATACTGAGTATGAAAAAGTCAGAAGTGTTTATGAATGTACTAAATTGAATTATTTGAAATGTGAAAACTATATATAAGAAAAAAGTTGGTAGAGAAGAATATCACCAACCTTTTTAATTTCATGCCACATATCTTTCGCACTGATTCCTCCAGAATTGCCAGATATAATGAAACAAGGACATTCAGAGACATGTACTTCATTAGTTTCTTTTGCAGCAATGGCAAACGTAAGTGGAGATTGTCCTTTGGTTGTTCTGTGAAAAATATACTTCCTATTAATGGCATGAGGTGTAACTTTTTCTTCAAATTAGGTATTCTTTAGTACGCTTTCAGAATAATTTTTCATTCAATTTAACAGGATGGTATCAGAGTTCTAGCGTTCGAATCTGAACAACTATTTTCCCTTTAATATATCATCACCCAGTATCTTATTATCCACAGATTTTTGTTATAATCTTATCGCCCAGTGAAAACAAGAATCTATTACAAATTACTCAAACTAAGGAAAGGACTTACTTATGATGTAAAAGTACTCCACGAACTCCATCTTCTATTCTGTTTGTAATATAACATTGTGAATGGAATAAAATTATTTATACCAATGAATTACTGAATTAATACAAGAAGAATAGTATAAAACAAAAAATTAGATTAAAGACCACTTATTATAATCTTACTTCATCTTTGAGTTGAAGTGACCACCAGATATTCCAGAGAACCCACCCACTGAGTTCTGAAAAAAAAGTCATAGAAACATGCTCCAAATCTGTTGATTACAAAAAAAAAATGAACAA